ACAAGTTGAAAAAATGAAATTCCGTAACGCTTGGCCGTGCCGATATATCTTTGGACGATCACGAAAACTGAGTTTCGAATTTCGACTTGAGAGTTCGCATAAGGATAGGTCTGAGCAAGAATAGCTTATAGTGAAAGCTTCAGTTTTTTTTGATAGCACCTATTTTGAAATAAGAACACTGGGATTTCTTCAAGTGTCTCTATGCAAAGTTTCAAGTTAAAATTCGAAAGTCAGTTTTTCTGAGAGGGGAGACCGCGGAATTGTGCTAAAAAAATACAGTACTTCAGCAATAATAAGCAATTCGTTCGAATTTTTTCCGGAATACTCATAACTCATTAGAATCTACACGATGAACGTGGTCACGACTTGAAAGCGATTTGATACTTATAAACGAGGCCTTGCAAGTGTTCCCAATGCATAGTATAACAATGAATCTCACTGAAGCACTCACATATTTACTTCGGAATGGTCTGCACTAGAACAAATCTGAAAGATGATCGACTTCAACTAATATTTTATACTTATAACAATTTGATAAAACTGACTGAGTTGCACGTGGATTCCTGATGAGAATATTGATCTTAGAAGAAGAAATCTCCATTGTTAGTTTTTAATAAATGCATATTTTAATTCTTCTACTTAGGTTGTTGTGATTGGTGATCAAAGTTCAGGTAAAACCAGTGTACTCGAAATGATAACACAAGCACGTATATTTCCTCGGTTTGTTCATATTTAATTTATTTTTTTTATATTGCATATTCAATATATGTCTCTCTAGAGGTGCTGGTGAAATGATGACACGTAGTCCAGTAAAAGTTACTTTAAGTGAAGGTCCTTATCATGTTGCAACTTTTAAAGATAGTAGTAAAGAATATGATTTAACAAAAGAAGCAGATGTATACATATGATTGTTTTGAACAAATAAAGATAATGCTTTTGTCTTTTTAGTTAGCTGCTCTTCGAAAAGAAATTGAACTTCGTATGCGTGCATCAGTTCGAAATGGTCAAACGATCAGTAGTGAAGTTTGTTTGAAAAATTTATTAATATTAAAAAAAATATTACATAAACAAATAATTTAGGTTATTTCATTATCAGT